GATAGTATAATCATTATTATTATTATTACTAGTATTATTATTATTGTTTTTAGTATTAGTGGTAGTAGTAGAAATATTAGTATTTATAGTATTAGTAGTACGAGTAGTAGAAATAATAGTAGCAGTAGCAGTAGTAGTAGTAGTACTAGTAGTATGATTAATATTATTATTATTATTATTACTAGTATTATTATTATTATTAGTAGTAGTAATAGTAGTATTAATGTTTATATTAGTAGCAGTACTAGTAGTAGAATTAGTAGTAGTAGAAATAGCAGTAGCAGTGTAATGAACAAGAACACGGATGGGGACAATCGATTGTATTTAGCACAAAAATTACAGACTATCTCAATAAAATGTGAATACCATAAAGTCAATCGTCAATTCGCAAAATATCATTCGATCATGTGAAACTGTACTGTTCCCGTTGCAAACACGAATCCATTGTCGCCCATTCCGTTGTACATGCGCTTTCTTACAATTCCATTGTGTTCTTGCTCTTCCTTTCTTGAACTTCGCCATCTTCTGCTGCAGGATATAACCTACTTTTGACGCACGTTATATACTACTTATATCAATATAAGTAGCTTACACCAAAGTAGTAGTAGTAGTAGTAGTAAAAGTAGTAGTATTATTGATAGTATAATCATTATTATTATTATTACTAGTATTATTATTATTATTATTAATATTATTAGTGGTAGTAGTAGAAATATTAGTATTTATAGTATTAGTAGTACGAGTAGTAGAAATAATAGTAGCAGTAGCAGTAGTAGTAGTAGTACTAGTAGTATGATTAATATTATTATTATTATTATTACTAGTATTATTATTATTATTAGTAGTAGTAATAGTAGTATTAATGTTTATATTAGTAGCAGTACTAGTAGTAGAATTAGTAGTAGTAGAAATAGCAGTAGCAGTGTAATGAACAAGAACACGGATGGGGACAATCGATTGTATTTAGCACAAAAATTACAGACTATCTCAATAAAATGTGAATACCATAAAGTCAATCGTCAATTCGCAAAATATCATTCGATCATGTGAAACTGTACTAATCCCGTTGCAAACACGAATCCATTGTCGCCCATTCCGTTGTACATGCGCTTTCTTACAATTCCATTGTGTTCTTGCTCTTCCTTTCTTGAACTTCGCCATCCTCTGCTGCCGGATATAACGTTCTTTTAACGCACGTTATATACTACTTGTATCAATATAAGTAGCTCACACCAAAGTAGTAGTAGTAGTATTAGCATTAGAAGTATGAATAATATTATTATTAATACTAGTAATATTATTAGTATTAATATTATTATTATTAGTAGTAGTACTAGTATTTGTATTTAAAGTAGTAGCAGTACTAGTAGTAGAATTAGTAGTAGTAGAAATAGCAGTAGCAGTGTAATGAACAAGAACACGGATGGGGACAATCGATTGTATTTAGCACAAAAATTACAGACTATCTCAATAAAATGTGAATACCATAAAGTCAATCGTCAATTCGCAAAATATCATTCGATCATATCAAACTGTACTGTTCCCGTTGCAAACACGAATCCATTGTCGCTCATTCCGTTGTACATGCGCTTTCTTACAATTCCATTGTGTTCTTGCTCTTCCTTTCTTGAACTTCGCCATCCTCTGCTGCGGGATATAACGTTCTTTTAACGCACGTTACATACTACATGTATCAATATAAGTAGCTCACACCAAAGTAGTAGTAGTAGTATTAGCATTAGAAGTATGAATAATATTATTATTAATACTAGTAATATTATTAGTATTAAAATTATTATTATTAGTAGTAGTACTAGTATTTGTATTTAAAGTAGTAGCAGTACTAGTAGTAGAATTAGTAGTGGTAGTAATAGCAGTAGCAGTGTAGTGAACAAGAACACGGATGGGGACAATCGATTGTATTTAGCACAAAAATTACAGACTATCTCAATAAAATGTGAATACCATAAAGTCAATCGTCAATTCGCAAAATATCATTCGATCATGTGAAACTGTACTGTTCCCGTTGCAAACACGAATCCATTGTCGCCCATTCCGTTGTACATGCGCTTTCTTACAATTCCATTGTGTTCTTGCTCTTCCTTTCTTGAACTTCGCCATCTTCTGCTGCAGGATATAACCTACTTTTGACGCACGTTATATACTACTTATATCAATATAAGTAGCTTACACCAAAGTAGTAGTAGTAGTAGTAGTAAAAGTAGTAGTATTATTGATAGTATAATCATTATTATTATTATTACTAGTATTATTATTATTATTATTAATATTATTAGTGGTAGTAGAAGAAATATTAGTATTTATAGTATTAGTAGTACGAGTAGTAGAAATAATAGTAGTAGTAGTAGTAGTAGTACTAGTACTAGTGGTATGATTAATATTATTATTATTATTATTACTAATATTATTATTATTTGTAGTAGTAATAGTAGTATTAATGTTTATAGTAGTAGCAGTACTAGTAGTAGAATTAGTAGTAGTAGTAATAGCAGTAGCAGTGTAGTGAACAAGAACACGGATGGGGACAATCGATTGTATTTAGCACAAAAATTACAGACTATCTCAATAAAATGTGAATACCATAAAGTCAATCGTCAATTCGCAAAATATCATTCGATCATGTGAAACTGTACTGTTCCCGTTGCAAACACGAATCCATTGTCGCCCATTCCGTTGTACATGCGCTTTCTTACAATTCCATTGTGTTCTTGCTCTTCCTTTCTTGAACTTCGCCATCCTCTGCCGCAGGATATAACCTACTTTTGACGCACGTTATATACTACTTATATCAATATAAGTAGCTTACTCCAAAGTAGTAGTAGTAGTAGTAGTAAAAGTAGTAGTATTATTGATAGTATAATCATTATTATTATTATTACTAGTATTATTATTATTATTATTAATATTATTAGTGGTAGTAGTAGAAATATTAGTATTTATAGTATTAGTAGTACGAGTAGTAGAAATAATAGTAGCAGTAGCAGTAGTAGTAGTAGTACTAGTAGTATGATTAATATTATTATTATTATTACTAGTATTATTATTATTATTAGTAGTAGTAATAGTAGTATTAATGTTTATATTAGTAGCAGTACTAGTAGTAGAATTAGTAGTAGTAGAAATAGCAGTAGCAGTGTAATGAACAAGAACACGGATGGGGACAATCGATTGTATTTAGCACAAAAATTACAGACTATCTCAATAAAATGTGAATACCATAAAGTCAATCGTCAATTCGCAAAATATCATTCGATCATGTGAAACTGTACTAATCCCGTTGCAAACACGAATCCATTGTCGCCCATTCCGTTGTACATGCGCTTTCTTACAATTCCATTGTGTTCTTGCTCTTCCTTTCTTGAACTTCGCCATCCTCTGCTGCCGGATATTACGTTCTTTTAACGCACGTTATATACTACTTGTATCAATATAAGTAGCTCACACCAAAGTAGTAGTAGTAGTATTAGCATTAGAAGTATGAATAATATTATTATTAATACTAGTAATATTATTAGTATTAAAATTATTATTATTAGTAGTAGTACTAGTATTTGTATTTAAAGTAGTAGCAGTACTAGTAGTAGAATTAGTAGTGGTAGTAATAGCAGTAGCAGTGTAGTGAACAAGAACACGGATGGGGACAATCGATTGTATTTAGCACAAAAATTACAGACTATCTCAATAAAATGTGAATACCATAAAGTCAATCGTCAATTCGCAAAATATCATTCGATCATGTGAAACTGTACTGTTCCCGTTGCAAACACGAATCCATTGTCGCCCATTCCGTTGTACCTGCGCTTTCTTACAATTCCATTGTGTTCTTGCTCTTCCTTTCTTGAACTTCGCCATCCTCTGCTGCCGGATATAACGTTCTTTTAACGCACGTTATATACTACTTGTATCAATATAAGTAGCTCAAAACAAAGTAGTAGTAGTAGTAGTAGAATTAGTAGTAGTAGTAATAGCAGTAGCAGTGTAGTGAACAAGAACACGGATGGGGACAATCGATTGTATTTAGCACAAAAATTACAGACTATCTCAATAAAATGTGAATACCATAAAGTCAATCGTCAATTCGCAAAATATCATTCGATCATATCAAACTGTACTGTTCCCGTTGCAAACACGAATCCATTGTCGCCCATTCCGTTGTACATGCGCTTTCTTACAATTCCATTGTGTTCTTGCTCTTCCTTTCTTGAACTTCGCCATCCTCTGCTGCCGGATATAACGTTCTTTTAACGCAAGTTATATACTACTTGTATCAATATAAGTAGCTCAAAACAAAGTAGTAGTAGTAGTAGTAGAATTAGTAGTATTAGTAATAGCAGTAGCAGTGTAGTGAACAAGAACGCGGATGGGGACAATCGATTGTATTTAGCACAAAAATTACAGACTATCTCAATAAAATGTGAATACCATAAAGTCAATCGTCAATTCGCAAAATATCATTCGATCATATCAAACTGTACTGTTCCCGTTGCAAACACGAATGCATTGTCGCCCATTCCGTTGTACATGCGCTTTTTTACAATTCCATTGTGTTCTTGCTCTTCCTTTCTTGAACTTCGCCATCCTCTGCTGCCGGATATAACGTTCTTTTAACGCACGTTATATACTACTTGTATCAATATAAGTAGCTCAAAACAAAGTAGTAGTAGTAGTAGTAGAATTAGTAGTAGTAGTAATAGCAGTAGCAGTGTAGTGAACAAGAACACGGATGGGGACAATCGATTGTATTTAGCACAAAAATTACAGACTATCTCAATAAAATGTGAATACCATAAAGTCAATCGTCAATTCGCAAAATATCATTCGATCATGTGAAACTGTACTAATCCCGTTGCAAACACGAATCCATTGTCGCCCATTCCGTTGTACATGCGCTTTCTTACAATTCCATTGTGTTCTTGCTCTTCCTTTCTTGAACTTCGCCATCCTCTGCTGCCGGATATAACGTTCTTTTAACGCACGTTATATACTACTTGTATCAATATAAGTAGCTCAAAACAAAGTAGTAGTAGTAGTATTAGCATTAGAAGTATGAATAATATTATTATTAATACTAGTAATATTATTAGTATTAATATTATTATTATTATTAGTAGTACTAGTATTTGTATTTAAAGTAGTAGCAGTACTAGTAGTAGAATTAGTAGTAGTAGAAATAGCAGTAGCAGTGTAATGAACAAGAACACGGATGGGGACAATCGATTGTATTTAGCACAAAAATTACAGACTATCTCAATAAAATGTGAATACCATAAAGTCAATCGTCAATTCGCAAAATATCATTCGATCATATCAAACTGTACTGTTCCCGTTGCAAACACGAATCCATTGTCGCCCATTCCGTTGTATATGCGCTTTCTTACAATTCCATTGTGTTCTTGCTCTTCCTTTCTTGAACTTCGCCATCCTCTGCTGCGGGATATAACGTTCTTTTAACGCACGTTATATACTACTTGTATCAATATAAGTAGCTCAAAACAAAGTAGTAGTAGTAGTATTAGCATTAGAAGTATGAATAATATTATTATTAATACTAGTAATATTATTAGTATTAATAATATTATTATTAGTAATAGTACTAGTATTTGTATTTAAAGTAGTAGCAGTACTAGTAGTAGAATTAGTAGTGGTAGTAATAGCAGTAGCAGTGTAGTGAACAAGAACACGGATGGGGACAATCGATTGTATTTAGCACAAAAATTACAGACTATCTCAATAAAATGTGAATACCATAAAGTCAATCGTCAATTCGCAAAATATCATTCGATCATGTGAAACTGTACTGTTCCCGTTGCAAACACGAATCCATTGTCGCCCATTCCGTTGTACCTGCGCTTTCTTACAATTCCATTGTGTTCTTGCTCTTCCTTTCTTGAACTTCGCCATCCTCTGCTGCCGGATATTACGTTCTTTTAACGCACGTTATATACTACTTGTATCAATATAAGTAGCTCAAAACAAAGTAGTAGTAGTAGTAGAATTAGTAGTAGTAGTAATAGCAGTAGCAGTGTAGTGAACAAGAACACGGATGGGGACAATCGATTGTATTTAGCACAAAAATTACAGACTATCTCAATAAAATGTGAATACCATAAAGTCAATCGTCAATTCGCAAAATATCATTCGATCATGTGAAACTGTACTGTTCCCGTTGCAAACACGAATCCATTGTCGCCCATTCCGTTGTACATGCGCTTTCTTACAATTCCATTGTGTTCTTGCTCTTCCTTTCTTGAACTTCGCCATCCTCTGCTGCCGGATATAACGTTCTTTTAACGCAAGTTATATACTACTTGTATCAATATAAGTAGCTCAAAACAAAGTAGTAGTAGTAGTAGTAGAATTAGTAGTATTAGTAATAGCAGTAGCAGTGTAGTGAACAAGAACGCGGATGGGGACAATCGATTGTATTTAGCACAAAAATTACAGACTATCTCAATAAAATGTGAATACCATAAAGTCAATCGTCAATTCGCAAAATATCATTCGATCATATCAAACTGTACTGTTCCCGTTGCAAACACGAATCCATTGTCGCCCATTCCGTTGTACATGCGCTTTTTTACAATTCCATTGTGTTCTTGCTCTTCCTTTCTTGAACTTCGCCATCCTCTGCTGCCGGATATAACGTTCTTTTAACGCACGTTATATACTACTTGTATCAATATAAGTAGCTCAAAACAAAGTAGTAGTAGTAGTAGTAGAATTAGTAGTGGTAGTAATAGCAGTAGCAGTGTAGTGAACAAGAACACGGATGGGGACAATCGATTGTATTTAGCACAAAAATTACAGACTATCTCAATAAAATGTGAATACCATAAAGTCAATCGTCAATTCGCAAAATATCATTCGATCATATCAAACTGTACTGTTCCCGTTGCAAACACGAATCCATTGTCGCCCATTCCGTTGTACATGCGCTTTCTTACAATTCCATTGTGTTCTTGCTCTTCCTTTCTTGAACTTCGCCATCCTCTGCTGCCGGATATAACGTTCTTTTAACGCACGTTATATACTACTTGTATCAATATAAGTAGCTCAAAACAAAGTAGTAGTAGTAGTAGTAGAATTAGTAGTAGTAGTAATAGCAGTAGCAGTGTAGTGAACAAGAACACGGATGGGGACAATCGATTGTATTTAGCACAAAAATTACAGACTATCTCAATAAAATGTGAATACCATAAAGTCAATCGTCAATTCGCAAAATATCATTCGATCATGTGAAACTGTACTAATCCCGTTGCAAACACGAATCCATTGTTGCCCATTCCGTTGTACATGCGCTTTCTTACAATTCCATTGTGTTCTTGCTCTTCCTTTCTTGAACTTCGCCATCCTCTGCTGCGGGATATAACGTTCTTTTAACGCACGTTATATACTACTTGTATCAATATAAGTAGCTCACACCAAAGTAGTAGTAGTAGTATTAGCATTAGAAGTATGAATAATATTATTATTAATACTAGTAATATTATTAGTATTAATATTATTATTATTAGTAGTAGTACTAGTATTTGTATTTAAAGTAGTAGCAGTACTAGTAGTAGAATTAGTAGTAGTAGTAATAGCAGTAGCAGTGTAGTGAACAAGAACACGGATGGGGACAATCGATTGTATTTAGCACAAAAATTACAGACTATCTCAATAAAATGTGAATACCATAAAGTCAATCGTCAATTCGCAAAATATCATTCGATCATATCAAACTGTACTGTTCCCGTTGCAAACACGAATCCATTGTCGCTCATTCCGTTGTACATGCGCTTTCTTACAATTCCATTGTGTTCTTGCTCTTCCTTTCTTGAACTTCGCCATCCTCTGCTGCGGGATATAACGTTCTTTTAACGCACGTTATATACTACTTGTATCAATATAAGTAGCTCACACCAAAGTAGTAGTAGTAGTATTAGCATTAGAAGTATGAATAATATTATTATTAATACTAGTAATATTATTAGTATTAAAATTATTATTATTAGTAATAGTACTAGTATTTGTATTTAAAGTAGTAGCAGTACTAGTAGTAGAATTAGTAGTGGTAGTAATAGCAGTAGCAGTGTAGTGAACAAGAACACGGAT